CCATCTTTCTCAGTCTCCCCCCAACCCCAATGTCAGTCCTGTTTTACAACAGTGGCACTATGCAGTATTAGTCTTTTTGTGACTGAGATCTTTCACTTAGCATAATGTCCTCCAGGGTCACCTATTTTGTGTAATATTTCATAAGTTCCTTGTTTTTCAATGCAGCATAGTATTCCATTGTGTGACTATACCACAGCTTCTCTATCCATTGTTTGTTGATGGGCACTTACGTTGTTTCCAACTCCTTGCTGTTGTGAACAAAGCTAGGATAAACATGGGTGTGCATACATCTGCTTGGGTCGTGGTTATGGGTATATTCCCAGTAGTGGAATTGCTAGGTCAAATGACATTTCTATTTACAACTTTTTGAGAAAGCGCCATACTGCCTTCCAAAGTGGTTGCACCATTTTACACTCCCACCAGCAGTGAATAAGGGTTCCAGTTTCTCCACAACCTCCACAGCATTTGTTGTTTGCTTGCTCCAATTTTTTTTATTACTTTTAATGAGCATTTACAGAGATTTTTGTATTTCCATTCATTCCTCCAATTTTTAAAAGTCAAAATCTTCTTTTCCTGTCTCTTACAAATGTAAATCTCGTCAATCAGCTGGATTTGTGTGTTCTAGTCAGCTCATCTTTAGTCATTCCTGTCAGGATGAGTCTGAAAATCCATTCAAATGCAGATCTCTTCTGAGTACTCCTGCTGCTTAATCTTCCCTCCAGCCAAGTCCCAAGCCCTCTACATAATTTTGCTGCTTCCAACAAGCATTTCTTCAGAACAGATATTCACTTTTTATCATATACTATCAAGGACTAGTTGAAGGTGTGTTTATATTCTTCCCCAATATATCCCATCATTATAACATTAGTATTCATTTGTACAATATATATTACTACTTCCAGAAGAGTTAAAATAACAAAAACCTTAATCATTTGTGTATTTTGACACAACATAGAAGAAACATCAGTACTCATCATGAATATCCAAATAAACACTTAAAATGTTAACGCTTTTCATCTTAAACCATTAAGTATATCTTGGCTTATTGCAAGTGACTTTATGAATGGGAGCTAGCAGTATTCCAAGATGTGGGACATGAGTGCTTCAGGATCCAAATAAACCAATCAGACATTGGTCTTCCTCTTTAATTTTAGGAGTTGGTAGTGAACACAGCTTGGTTTTGGTTGCCAATGTAATGTCATGGGTGGCTCCTACCTAGGTTATTCTCAAGAGTTTTACTGTTTGAGCATGGCCCTGTATTTTTGCTGGATTTATTAGCCAATCTCTGTTGGTCAAGTGGACAGCTACTGTTTTCAAATCATCTATAGCCTGTTCTTCAGAGTTTGATATTAACAGAATATTATCTATGTAATATGTAATTATAGTGGATATCTAGACCAAGTCCAAGTCTCTTCTAACCAAGCAATGACTGTTGCTGTTGTTGTTGTTGTTTTCATGTGCCATTGAGTCACCTACAACTTATCATGACCCTATGTATAACAGCTCTGAAGCTTTCCCTGTCCTGAGCCAGTCTCACAATTCTGATACACCTACTCCCATCGCCCCAGTTATTGTATCAATCCATATCCTTTGGAGTCTTCCTCTCCTTTGCTGTTCCTCCACCCTGCCAAGCATGATGTCCTTTCCGAGGACTGATCCCTCCTAGCCACATGCCTAAGTTTGTGAAACAGAGCTTCCAAAATCTAGCCTCTGAGGAGAAACTTTTCTTGGTGGTCCATGGTATACTCCAGACTCTTCCCCAGCACCACAACTGAAAGGAATTGATTTTTATGCCATCATCCTTAATCATTGTGCAGCTCTCTGATGTGTAGCAGGTTTTTGTGATGGCCATGGCCTGTATCAGGTGCACCTTAGTCTGTAGACTGACATCCTTGCTTCTCGGTACTCTGAAGAGGTCCCTGACAACAGATTTTCCCAGTGCAGTTTGTCTTTTGATTGCCTGACTTCTGGTGTCAAGAATGTTGATTGTGGAGCCAAGCAAGCTGAAATTGTTAACAAACTCAATCTCTTCTCCATCTATCATGGTGCTGCCAATTGGCCCAGTGGTGAAAATCTTGTCTTCTTAGGGAAATGAATTCAAATAACCCTGTGGTAGTATTGTAGAGGTATTCTGATATTCTTCCTATGAGACAGCATATGGTTGTTGGCTCTTTTTTGAGATTGGGATGGATAGAAATGTATTTTTCCCTTTCTACTATTTTTATTGGTTTGCATCTAATAATTTCATTCAGAACCACAAATACTGCCCCTAAAGTATGACTCTTAACAATTCATTTTAGTAATAATTCCTCAGGAAACTTCAGATAGTGATCTATAAACTTATGTATTTCCTTCATGCCATACCTCTTGGCTACAATAGTTTCTAGATCCTGTTCATTTACCTCCCAGACTACCTTTTAGATGACCACTCATTGGACATATAATTCCACTTGCTCCCTCACAATTTTTTTTTTTTATGTTCTAGCAGATAATGAGATTTAGGGTTGTAACAATGTCCTGATTGGACTGGATTCAGTTCTGATACCAACCCTTTACTTCCTACATTCTTCCCTTGCATTTGCTGCCACTATTCATAACAGAAGCCAAGGAATTTTAAGTTTCAATCTTCCTTATCACTTTGTATTTCTATAAGCATACATTTAGCCATCTCAGAAGTTAGATCCTCCAACTTTATATCCCATGAATAATTTTTGTCTTGGGTAACTGACTACAACATAATAGCTGCATGAATTCCATCCAAATTCTCATTTTCTTGTTTACACCTTTTTCTCCAAAGCTACATGTTACAGGGAGTCTGGACCTTTGCAGTGAATCCCCTTTCTAACACCAATTAAATCCATAATTCATACTTTTAAGATAGTAGCATGATGCTGGGAGGGTCTTTTCCTTGGAGAGGGACATGATGCTAGAAAGGTTGGAGGGTTAGAGAAGGAGGAAAAGACCCTCAACCAGGTGGATTGACACAGTGACTGCTGCAATGATTCTTCTGCATCAGGAAATGTGAGGATGGTACAGGATAGAGCAGGGTTCAGGTTTTTTGTCCACAGGGTTGCTATGAGTCATACTCGATTCAGTGGCCCCTAACATAACAACAGGACAGTAGCAGACCAGTTACAAAAAGGGTGAAGTGAACAGTATCCCAATTGTGTAATCTGAAACAAGAAAAGAATAAAAATAAAGAAAAAGAACAGATGTTTGATCTGCTATACCACTCCATAATTTCTAACATCAGCAGTCCTCCTTCATTCAGTTCCCAACTCCTTTATGTTCCTTGTGGTCAGTGGTTCATGGGAAGGTCTCGCAGAAACGTAAACACGTCATGAAATGACTCAGTATGCATGTGGGTGATGCAGGCTGGTGGTTGCACAGACTGACGCAGCTGAATACTGTGTCCTAGGAGAGTGAGTGTCCTAAAAGAGGACTCTGGTGAACTTACATAGGACTTTAGAAGGGTGGGGCTTGTGTCCCTCCTTAATCCAATGTCCTTAATACAGAACATACTTCATCACAAAATAAACATCTCGTCAATGGCTAGGAAAGACATTTTGAACAATAAATCTTTGGCACCACAGTCACTCACATACATAGTAACCAGTTTACTGTGATAAACTGTGCATGTGAATAACCATTCCTTGTCTGCATAAATATACCCATTGCCATCAATTTGTTGCTAACTCATAGCTACAGAGTTGAAATCTAGGTCCTGAGAACTTTAAGTAGTTTCTGCAATCTTCTGCTCTAGTTTGAATTACTTATTTTCACACTATGTATTATTGCTAATGAACATTCAAATTTGTATCTAAAAGTGCCAGAAAAACACATTCTATCAGTCACAGAGTGACACCTCAGATTGTCAAAGCCTCATCTAGCTTTCTGGGTGTTACTGATAAATTTAAGCTATTTGAATCCTATCTTAAGTTAGCTTTTGTGTGATGATTTTGTTATATCTATTCATTGTTTTTTTCCTTTTCTGCTTTTTAAAAAAAACAAAACGAAACTACCTCTCTGCCTTGAAGATTCAAGCCCCCATAAGACAACAGCCAAAGGTTCAGACAACCCCACCTCCTGCTATCCAGGGACAGAAGCTCGGATCTCTCACTCCTCCGTCATCTCCCAAGACCCAGCGGGCTGGTCACAGGCGAATTCTTAGTGATGTAACCCACAGTGCCGTCTTTGGAGTTCCTGCTAGCAAATCAACTCAGCTCCTCCAGGCAGCTGCAGCTGAAGCCAGTCTCAATAAGTCCAAGTATGTAGAACTTGCCTTTTGTCTTTGTTATTTATTTTTGAGAGTAATTTGTCATTAGCCATTAATGCTATGAGTCTTTGTGTATCATTATGAACGTATGTATAATGTATCTGTTTTATAAAAAATTAAATTTGCCTGTAGTACATGTGTCACACTGATCTCAAGAAAAAAACCATTTCCTGCTTTACTCATTCTTTCCGTTCTCTCACTCATTCCATGCTCTGAAATACTTTCTGAAGCCTTAATCTAACCAACTCTCTTCATACTGAAAATTCCTCATTGACTTGCTGTTCCCTGTAGGATAATATCTGAATTTAGCAGTTATACACCAAGACCTGTTGTATCACACTGGTAGACTTTCCCCCTTCATGAGCCCATTGCTCATCCTGTTCTTTCTTTTCCACTCTTCCCTCTCCTCCTTGTGCACCTAGGAAAAGCTTATTTATTCATCAAGATCCATATATAAGGTTATCTTCCCTTTACATCATCTAAGCTCACTCTGATATATATCATTCATTGTCAGGCTTTTCTTGAGCATGTATTTAATTGTATTATCACTGTTTAATTGTGTGATAGCACTTAACAACAGCTAATATGTGGCTTGTTGACCTACTCTGGGAGTTCTTCCAAGACCAGGCCCTTGAAAACATGTTGACCTTTATAAACCTAGTGATGTCTCTGTGCTGAACATACATTGGTTTTCAATGACTGTTGATTGAACACATTTTAGACCCTCAGCTTTCTTGGAACTATGATTTCCAAAGTTAAAATCTTTAAAGTAACTCATTTGCTAAATTAAAAAGGGTATTAAGGGATACTTTAGAAGGAGATTAGATAATGATGATATTGAAGCACATTGTGATGCTGTCTTTATTTCTTTTTCATTTTGATGGTGATCACTGATAGTGACCTTTAATTCTGTTAATGTCAGATCCTGAAAAATGAGATGCAACCTGAATAGCCAACAGTTCCATCCCTGTAGGGGCCAGCCATTGTGGCTACTTATTGTGGGCACCACAGGATGCAGAAGATTAAAAGCAAGTTGTTTTGGAATACTGACTTGAAAAGGAGATGCAGCCAAGACCAGTAAACTAAGTAAGAGATTAAAGAACTAATGGTAGGTAGTAAGTCATGAAGAACAGGGAGCGGTTTATTTCACAAAATGGAAAGGGTGTCAGTAGAAGCCTTAAAGTTGACATGGAAAGCTCTTTTAGAATACCTTGGAAAATAATGGTTTGACCCAGAAAAGAATGACAAAATAAATGTTCAACTTTTATATGTTGGTTTTTTGGTTGTTTTTTTTTCATGGGGATGGGAATCTACCTAGGTCTGCAACCACTACCCCATCAGGCTCTCCTCGGACCTCCCAGCAAAATGTTTATAATCCTTCAGAAGGTTCTACGTGGAATCCCTTCGATGATGACAATTTCTCCAAACTCACAGCTGAAGAACTACTAAACAAGGACTTTGCAAAGCTGGGAGAAGGTGAGTAATTGGTGTTTTTTTGAGATTCTTTATTATAAATTCTTTCTTCCAGTACATAAGAGTTTTGTTGCTGTTAGGTCATGTTGAATTGAATACAACTCTTATCAACCCTATGAACAACAGATCTGAACCCTGTCCAGCCTCACAATCTGACACAACCATCTCTGCAGTCACCATTTCTGTACACCTGGTTAAAGGTTTTTCTATCCTTAGCTGTCCTTCCGCCTTTGAAAGCATGATTTCCCTCTCCAATGAATGAATAACCTCTCCTATCAACATGCCCAAAGTATGTGAGACAAAACTTTATCAACTTTGCATCCAAGTAGTACTCTGGCTGCACCTTCTTCAATAACTCCATCTATTCTTTTGTCAGTCCATGGATTCATTCAGTACTCTTGTCGAACATCACAGTTCAAAAGTATCAGTTCTTCTTCTGTTATCTTAGTTAATGTCCAGCTCTCAGATGCATAGCAAGTGACTGAAAAGGCCTTGGGCTGAATCAGGCAAACCTTAGTCCTCCAATTGGCATCACTGCTTCTCAATAATTTGGAGAGGTCCCTGACTACAGATTCTCCGAATGCAATATGACTGCTGATGCCAGATGTATCATAATGTTGCCTATTGCTCCAGTGACAAAGACTTATTTTCTTGACTTTGAGATGCAGTCCATAATGAAGGCTGCAGTGTTTAACCCTCTGTAGCAAGAGCTTCAAGTCCTCATCACTTTCAGCAAGCAAGGTTTTGTCATCTGCACAACAAAGGTTATTGATGAGTCTTCTTCCAATCGTGATGCTACATTCTTCATAGAGTCCAGTTTCTTGAATAATTTGCTCAGCACACAGATTGAATAGGTGTGGAGAACATATACAACTCTGACACACACCTTTCATCATCTTAAACTATGAAGTGTTCCCCTGCTCTATTTTCACAACAGCCTCTAGGTTTCTCACCAGCACAATTAAGTGTTCTGGCATTCCCATTCTCCATGTTAGCTATGTTTGTTGTGATCCCCCTGTTCTTTCTCCCTCACCTCCCTTTTCCTTCTCCTTCCCTTTCCTCCTCTCCCTCCCCTGACTTTATCCTCCCCTCCCCTCTCAATTATAAGCTCTCCCCCATTCCCTCCTTCCCCTCTCTGTGACTATGTGTACATATTTATGTATTTATTACAATATTCTGACTGAAATGAACTGAGTGATGTTTCATCCCTCCAGGCAAACATCCTGAGAAACTTGGTGGCTCAGCAGAGAGTTTGATCCAAAGCTTTCAACCAACTGCAAGAGATGCTTTTACAGCTTCCTCATTTCCTGCCCCAACTGGTTAGTATGGCAAAACATTCTGAAACATAATGTTCACTCTTATCTTCTTTTGTTTTTTCCACATACCAGTTAGAGCACAGGTCTTCACAATAAGATATATTTTCTTTAATTCACAAAAGTTTCCATTGAAAAAGGTAGGAATGGAGAATATTATAGAATCACTTTGGATTAAAAGGACAGGTTTATCTGGCAGTATTATACACAATGGTTCTCTATTTCATGGATATGTCTAAATGTTTCTAAATTTTAAGAGCAAGAGCTACCTGATATTTAGCCAAGGGAATTCCATTCCTTATACAAGGAGCTTGTTAGCTATGTTACTCTCTTATCATTGTTTAGATTCTTAGGAATGTTGTAAAGACTTTTTTTTTAACAGTTCAGTTGTTTGTCCTGTGTGTTAAGAAACTGCTGCAATGTGTGTGTTTTTGTGTATCTGTGCATGCTTATGATGTAAGGAAGTTTAAAAATGGCATTAAAAAGCATTAAGAACATAATCTCCTTTATTAATAAGAATTTTCTTTATATTCACTATCTAAAACTTGATGGTTTATAATAATAAAAGTATAGAGAAATAGTTAAAATCCCTGTGATCCTACCAGTAAGGACTAGCACAAAGGTACCATTTTGATGTTTCAGTGACATTTAATAATTTTTTCTAAGATAACAGATATTTTTTTAAAACTTATGAAAGTCATCTTCCTCACTGCAATGCATGGATTACAATTATGTACATAATTTTAGGCTTCAATATAAGACTGATGCACATCTTTATTTGATACGTTGTTTTAGTTAGGGTTTATTTACGTGTATATGACCCGTAGTGAGCCTGTGAACAATAGACCTGAACCCTGCCTTATCCTGTACCATTCTCATCATCACAGACATATGTGAACCCATTGCTGCAGTTACTGTGTCAATTCATCTTCGTGGGGGTCTCCTCTCTTTCACTGAATACCCCCTTTTTCATAATGTCTATGATAAATCAGCATGCCTTCACTTAACACACTGTTGATATCCTCATGCCAGACAATCTCACCTGGATGAGAGGTGATGACTGTGGTTCCATTGTCAAGAAACTGGCTTTTGGAAGCCGCATAAGGAAACCTTCAACCAGCTATATGTCCACATACATGAAAAAGTCTTCTAGTCTAGTAAAAATAGCATGATCTTTCTGATCTAAAGCAATAATAATATCTCGTGGGCCCGCTCCTGGGTTTTGGTCTCCATCACTATTGAATGTTATCTTCTTTTTTTTTTTCTTTTAAATTTTATTTTATTAATTTTAATGAACATTTACAAAGATTTTGGACCTCCATTTGTTCATTGTTGACCTTTGCCCCCCCCCCCGCCCCCCCCCCCCCCAGTTCGCTCCTTTCTTTGAAAAGTAAAAGAAAAAATTATTTCATTTGTATACAATCCCCCGCACCCTTCCCACCATCCCAAGTACACTCCACTATGTGACCTTAATTCTGGACTTTTGTGATAACAATAATACCCTATCATACATCACTTTTAAATTGTCCTCTCCCTCGTCTGTTTCAATGCTGTATACATAATTTATCCAGTTTTTCTCAGTCTTACCCCAACCCTGATGTCAGTCCTATTTTACAACAGTGGCACCATGCAGTATTTGTCTTTTTGTGACTGAGATATTTCACTCAGCATAATGTCCTCCAGGATCACCCATTTTGAATAATATTGCACGAGTTCCTTGTTTTTCAATGCAGCATAGTATTCCGTTGTGTGAATATACCACAGCTTCTCTATCCATTCGTTTGTTGATGGGGGAATGTTACCTTCTTAATAACAGTCTAGATGGATGAGGTAGATCTTTAATGCCTTTGTCAGTATTAACTCAAACCATCTTCCTTCCTTCTTTGCAGCTATTACATCTGTGTTAGGGCTGATTCATCTCCCATAGCTCTGGCACTCTGTGCACACAGACTGAATTTGCTAACTATTCAGGTCCAATCTGATGAATTCTTACTTACCTTCAGGTACCTCAGCAGTCGAGACAGCATTCCACTGCCCCTTTCTTACCTCCTTGGCATTCACATTTGTCACAAATCACATTATTTTGCAGAGCTATTTTCTTACTGGACCATTACATAACTCTTGTTACTGAGAGTTGATGCACAACATTTTCCCCTCCTTTCTCTCCACATTCTTCCAGTGCCTCCAAAAAACATATCAAAGATGCCCATTAGTGAGCCCAAACCACCACCTGCTCCACCCTCTCTGATGGCTTGTCCTCCTTTATCATATGATTCTCTTTTCTTTGCATCAGAAAGCACTTCATAAGCTTGGTAAATCTGTTTAAACTTCTCTCTTTCATTTGGATTTTTATCAGGATGATACTTCAAGGTCAGTTCCCTGTAAGCTTTTTCAGCTCTTCCTGGGTGGTATTTGGTTTGATGTCTCCAGAAACTATGAACTTTGATAAATGTCCATAGTTGTAGAAAGACATCAGGCCTTTTGTTCATAGGGTTGCTATGAGTTGTGCTGGAATCGACGGCAATCAACAGCAACAACAAAGCACGATAGTAAGTGGTTTCCTTCACCATTCTGTATCATCCTTAAGTTGGCCTAGGCTAGTGTGGTGGAGTGAGAATGGGCACACCACTCTGTGCAGTTAGGCCAGCTGCTGCTCCTTGGCTTCTGTTTCCTCTTTTGATTTCTTGACTGATGTTACCATAAGTGTTGATTTTCGATCCAAGTAAAATGAAATCATTGCTAAGTGAAGTAATTTTTCCATCTAGAATGATATTGCTCATTTTCATGTTATATATGATAATATATAAATATAATATTTGTCATATCTGTGCACATACATATGTATACATACATTATATCCATGTTGTTGTTGTCGTCATTATACGCCATGGAGTCACCTGAGACTCACAGCTACCCTGTGTACAACAGCTCTGAAACCTGCCCTATCCTGAGCCAGTCTCACTGACTCTGACACACCTACCCTTGTTGCCCCAGTTACTCTATCAATCCATCTCATCTGGCTTCTTCCTCTCCTTCAGTGTCTCTCCACCCTTCCAAACTTGATGTCCTTCTCCAAGGACAAGTCCCTCCTGGCCATGTGCCCAAAGTATGTGAGATGGAGCTTCAGAATCCTATCCTCCAAGGAGAAACTTCATTTCATCCTTTTCAAAACAGACCTATATGTATACTCATTGTACATAACAATTTTTTTTTTATTTTTTTTTTTGTACATAACAATTTTTGAAACCTAAATTTTTCACATAATGAGTCTGGCACGTATCATTTAAAAAAGATTTATAAAGTATCTGCATTTTGTTCTTTTATACAGACATAATTCTAATTTAACCAAGATCTCTTTAGCCATTAAATTGATTTCAGTGTTTTATATTGAGAATCACTCCATGTGGGTGTATGGTTTTGAATATATTTTTTATAAGAAATGGAATTTATAATCTTCTGAAATAGGTATTTTTCTTAAATAGGCTAATTAACATCTGTTTTAAGCTTATCTGTTCTTAATTCTTGCTTCCCTTAAGTGTATTAGTTTTCCAACCTCATAAACTTATTCTGACTAGTACCTTGGCTGCCACTCTATAATATTATATGTATTGCTTTCGTATTTTTTTTTCCATTTTTTAGATTTTTTTTATGTTGCAGATTTTATATCTTCTTCATGAGTTATGTAGGATATATTTCAGTTGCATTGTATGCCCTATTCAATTTTTAGTTTAGAATATTACCAAGAGATAGAATCTGTGATTCAATTTGTTACTCATTTTATAAGTGGTTCACAGGCATTAGTAGTTTTCTGTTAGTTGGTGATACAGTGCTTAAGTGATCAGTTCCTAACTAAAAAGATGTGATTTGAACACTCCAGCCGCTCCACAAGAGAAAGATGAAACAGCCTGCTCTTCAAAAATAGACCTGTTTTGGTTTTCTATAGTATAATACTTAATGAAAGAATAGGTACATACTTTAACTGTATCTTGATGGATACTTATGGGGCCGCCTTTAACGTAGTGCTCAGTGTATCAGGCTGTAAATGGTGAAGTTGACATCTTGAAACATTTTTTATAAGAAGATGGACCGTCTCCTCCAGTAAAGATGTACAGCCACAGAAACCTGTAGAGGCTCAGCTCTGCCTCTTACCTGGTCTGATGGTGGCCATATGTTTAGAGTTGAGTGCAAGCCAAAAGATCAGTAGTTGGGGAGTCTTGGGTGACATAGTCCCTAGCATCTTGCACCACTAAATAAACAACAAAAGGTCAGTGATTCAAATCCAACAACCACTCTGAGAGAGTAAGAGGAATAGTTTGCCTTAGAAACTTACTGGAAGGTTGTGATGAGTTAGAATCCATTTGACAGAAGTAGGTTTGTTTTATTGATGAATATTTAGTTCATAAGCAATTTTTTGTCATGTAAACTGTATTGAAGGTAAATTTTGTCTTTTTTAATTGCATTAAGAGAAATTTTAGGGTATTATTCCTTTTATCCAGAAATGTGTATTTTAAGGCTTTTTCCCCCCTCCCCTCTGAATCATGCTAGTTCTTCATTTGAGGGTAGATTGAAATGTTAACAAACAAAGCACATCCATATGTTCAACAATAACGACAATTAGGATGCAATTTTTGTTGTTTTTTTTAAAATTTTTTTTCATTTTATATTGGTTTGTATATAAAATTTTTATACATTGTGTTTCATTCATGTACATTGTGTTTCATACTATCATTCATACACAGTGTTTTTTTAAATTAATTACTACTGATCCATGCCTATTATTATGCTATCTTTCCAAAACCCTTTTGAATCTTTCCTCTTCTTTCACCTCCCCATCCATCTGTCACATAAACCCAGCTTTCCAAGTGATTTCCCCCTTTCCTCTTTTCTCCTTCCATTTTTGAACATTAATGCACATCTTTCTAGTTATCCTTCTATTTTTATATTAGTCCTGATCAGACTTGGCTTGTTTGCTCAGCATAATGCTCTCAACACTCCCATGTTATATA